GATGGATGGATGGATGGATGGATGGATGGATGGATGGATGGATGGATGGATGGATGGACGGATCAATGGATCGATAGATAGATGGGAAAACAATGATCTGACATCCCTCACTTCTCAGGAAGGGCATGGATGGGATACTGACAACATCTGGTTCTCAAGTTCCTTGGCTCAGGGCTTGAAGGAATGACTTGCTCCATACCAGGAACCAGTGGCAAAGAATTAGCCATTCTTCATACAAGAGTTCCTGGAAGCAGGCATTCTGCCTCTACGGACACAGACTTCTTAAGTGATGACCCTCAGTTTGTCCACTTATGTTCAGAGAGCAGAGAGCAACACACGCAAGACTGTTTAAAAAAAAAAAAAGGGCAGCAGGGAGGGGACCTAAAAAAGACACTAGCCTGCCTGCTACTGTGGCTCTGCATACTTATTTTGTTTTGGAAGGAAATGTTTCACATTTCATATATATTTTGGGAGTAGCCTTAAATGTGTACTCATTACCCATAATACCATTCCCTTCCGGACACTTTCGTTTAAACAGGAGTTATTAAACAAAGCCAGCGATAAGCTACTTTGGCATGTAATGCACCACATGCCAACAGCAGTAGCTTTTAGTAGGAAGCTGGCTCCATCCCCACCCCGTCCTCACTTAAAGCAAACAGGTATGACAACACTCCTGAGCAGACTTGCTGGCACTCATTCCACTCAGAAAGTAATCAGGGTGGCAGCGGGCAGCCTCTCCACTGTGTCCTACATGCCATGAGTTGGTCTGTCAGGAGAGTGGACAGATGAAGCACGCTGCTTACACTTCCAGGGAACATTTTACCTAACTGGGGGGGGGGGGGTTCCCAAGGTAGGGTCCCATGCAGTCCAGGCTAATCTTGAACTCACTGTGTAGCCCAGCTGGCTGACCTTGCCCTCCTAATCCCCCTGCCTACACAGCAAGTGCTAGATTATACCTGCACCTGGCTCATGATGAACTTCTGCCGTGTTTACAGCATCCTGATGCTTCCCACAATGCTCTCACCTTGTGAAGCCTGGATTCCACTACACCTTCCCTCTGCAGTACGAGGATAGAACTGAGGGCCTTGTGCGTGTTTGGCGAGGGCTCTACCACTGAGCTACACTGCAGCTGGCTACCCCACCTGACGCCAGGAGAGCGGCACACATCCCCATTTCCATAAATGTCTAGGTTTTGTGTAACAGCTGTCTCTTCAACGACACCGTTTTATACCGTGGGACTAAATGAAGCCGGTGGCAAATGGTGTTGGTTTACAGACCTTGAAGTCCACAGCAATTGTTTGATTTTCCTTATAGGGCCCACGTAAGTTTATTTTGAAGGATAATTTTTCTAATACAGGTTTAATATTTTATAGCCTCCCCTTTCCTAACACTGGACACATCTGCGCACTTTTTTCTTTTTCAGTGTGTTAGTGTGAGTACACACACGTGGACAAGCATGTGGTGTGTCTGCACATATGAGGGCACCATGTATCCTCCTTCTCATTCTCTGCCCACTCCTTCTGAGGCAGTCTCTCCCTGAACCTGGAATTCCCAGGTCTGTGGCTAGAAAGAGCCTGGGAAATCTCATGTCCCCACGCCCTCAGTGCTGAGGTGTACAGGCATGCGGCTTGCTTGTCACTCTAACGCCAGGCCTCAGCCTTCAGTAGTAAGCACTCTTAACTGCTGAGCCCCTTCCTGGCCCCACCATTTACACTAATCTCCAGCATAAACCTGGTTGTTGGGCTATATAATACTTATTATTAGCCCTAAGATTATCACGGCAGTATTATTTAACCCACTATCATAAATAATGAGACACAGACACCTGTTGGATTTATAATTGCCTAATTTACCTTGGGCTGGGCAGACATTTCACCTACACTGTATAACACTCAATAACCTCACCATCCATCTTCCAGCCCCATCCAATGCCACCAACCTTAATCCTCCTTATCTGCTCTATCTTCCATCCACAATCCCATGGTACTTGCTTGTGTTCTTCATCTGGGCCCTTTCATACCATTATTGCAGTCCTTCCTCTCGGCTCACACGGTGTTTTTCGCCTTGCTAATCCATTGTGCGCATCCTCCTTCCTCCTCTTCTCCCATCCCATCTGTTTCCCTTTATTCTCTCTTGAACCCCAAAGCCTGGGGATCTTAGCCACGCCTACCCCATTCTTCCCTGCCCAGACATAGGCTGTTTAGTCAACCAATCAGATATAATGACTTAGGCAGGTTTGCACAACAAGGATAGGTTTAACCAGAGCTTGAGGAGTAGCATCAGAAAAACCACCAACGATACAATCCGCGGTGCCGGCTCGGAGAGGAGCTCTTTGCCAGATGCAGATAGTTTAAGGACTCTGGAGAGAGAATAAATGCCAGAGCCCAGAGAATGTGGCTGACAGAAAGAGAAAGGCTGATCCTGGTTGCTGTTGTGAGACAAGAAGTTGGAGATCTTCTGAAAAGAGGATTGGACTGGCTCCAAGGAACCCAATGATCCTAACCAGCAGGAATCAGCTAAGAGAACTGTGCCTCCTCTCCCACTAACCCTTTCTTTCTCCTACCTGGTGCTGGGCTGTTGGAAGGGATTGGGGTGGAGTAGAAAGAAAGAGATACAAGAAATGTAAATAAAAGAGCCTTAAAAATGAACGCCAACAAAAATACCTGTAGGCAAAACACCTATGCACAGAAAATAAAAACAAATCTTTATTTTAAAAGACGAGAAACAGTCCCTGGCAATGCTGAGTTTAACTGTAACCGCTACTTCCAAGCTGTGGAATCTGAGGCAAATCTGCAGCTCAAGCCTTCGGTACCCATAACTGAGGAACAGCACCAAAGCAGGAGCATGCCAATGGAAGCCGTGCTTGAGAAATGCAAGCTGATCAATGCTCTTCTGCCTTAACAGTGACTGGGCTGCTGTCACAGGCAGCTACGTGCTGAACCAGTGGTTTTTCTCAAGTCCAGAGGCGTTTTTTTACTTGGTGGAGGGAGGAAGGACAGCTGTAATGAATCCAGCCCCTGTTACCCCACAAACCCAGCACGAGCCATCTGGAATGTGGTGTCTCAGTGTTATGAACCCAGTACACTGAGTGTTAAGCTCCCACCTGGGCTTCTAAAGATATTCTCAAGTTCTGAGCAGTGATTACACAGATAACACATGAACATAAATCTATCTTGTTCATTAGTGTCTGTGTACTTTGTGTGTGCAAAGATTACAACCATAAAATGTGCAAATGGCAATAGCACCCTATTAATTCTTACTTAGAACCTGTGGTTTATGTTTGTTTGTTGATTGCTTTTTTTGTTTGTTTGGGGTGTTGTTTTTTTGTTTTGTTTTGTTTTTGTTTTTTCCCTCTTGATGCTAGGTACTGAAGCTATGACTAGGACATATCAGGGAAGACCTTCAACACTGAACCTCATATCCCCAGGCCTCTTCTTACTTGATTCTGAGACACGATCTTACTAAGTTGCAGAGGCAGGCCTTGAACTTAGGATCCTGCCACTTCAGTATCCTAAGGAGCTGAGACGAGCGTGTGCCTCTAGGTGACCAGGAGTTAGCTTCTTTTCCCAGTACACAAAGCTTTTCAGTTGGTTTGTGCTTCATTTCCCAGTACTTGAAACACTAAGGTAGTTTTCCTACATTCTCGGTTCAAAGCTACACCTGTAGTATAACTCTGTACTCCTTATCAGATCCCACGGCCCCTCTGACAGAACACATGATCACTGAGCTATTCTTTGGAACAAGGGAATTATCGGCAATATGGATGGGCTGTGGCTTGGTAGCAGAGTATCTGCTGGGCATGCTCAGGTCAATTCCTAAGGCAGCAAAATAATAAGGATATAGACAGGCCGAGCCGAAGAATAGAAATATCATGACATGCCAATACCGGCCATGAATAACATGAGGGGTGGGCAGGAGGTGGACGGGGGGGGGGGGGCTATCGTAGACAGTGGAGGTTCAGGAACTCAGGGTCGACCAAAAATTTCAGAATGGATGGTGGGTTTACTGGGCTTTCCTGACAGCATAT